TTTTGCACAATTTTCTTCTATCAACTTTTTTATGTACTTTTTTTATCATTTAACTATGAAAAATACATTTTTTTAGTTATTCCGTCAGTTAATCTGTTAAATCTCTCTAAAGTTGAGCGACAAAAAATGTGCATATATTAAAAGTTGAGTAACTAAAAATATGCATATTTAGATAGGTTTAATGAATTAACTGACAAAAAAACAAAAAAAGTGTATTTTTCATAGTTAAAGAACAAAAAAAGTGCATAAAAAAATTTAAGGGATGAAAATTGTGTAAAATTTTAAAGTTAAAGGATAAAAATTGACATTTAATCAAAAAATTTACATGTCAACAAAGGTCTTGGTCATTTAATTAATGTCATGAAAATGGGCTCAAAATTTGCCACATCATATAGTAATTAACAGAGACAACAGAAGAAACACAGAATGCCGACGTTTGCTTGCATCGGCCATTAAATTTTGGATGATATGATTCAGTGAAATTGTACATGGGTTAATGTAATTCAACATCAAAGTATGAGGGTTGAAATTATAGGAAAAATTAGAGGGGTTCATTTCAATATTTCAAAAACTAAAAGGGTTCAAATCCCCTTCTCGCCACACTAGGACATACTTCTAGAAAAAGGTGACTACGGTCACTTATGTAATTGACAATCTTTTCTCTTTTTTTTTTTTCAGAATAATATAATTACATTATAATGTAAGATTGTAAACTTATTGTAATGATATAATATTAAATAAATAAATACATATAATATCACATATAACTCTCAAAATAAAAATTGTCAATCACAATATCATATAATTATAAAATTATAATATCACATACCATTATAACTACATATATCATTTTTATTTATGGTTTGATCTTTCTTCATTTTTATAACTAAAAGTAAATTAGAAAAGAAAAACTTATAAATCAACCCTCTAAATTTACTGTTTTAATTTAACTAAGGCCTTCATGTTTTTAGTGTGCCACTAACTTTCTTAAAATTTGTCTACCAGCACTCCAGATGTTAGAAAATAGTATTTTTTTCCTCTAACAACTTTTTAAAATTTATTTTAAAAAATTGATTATAAACGATAATGTAATAGATTACAAGGCCTGCCGAAATCCCCCTTCATTTTTTTTTTTCCAAACACCACTTCAATTGAAAAGGTTAAAATACCAATTTAGTCCCTTAACTTTTAAATTTATATTAAATTTGTCTCTCAACTTTAAAAAGTACTAAGTTGTTTTTAAATTTTAATATTTGATATCAAAATAGTTCTCAAACTTTGAAAATAATAATAATAATTTAGTTCTTAAAATTTGAAAATAAGTATCAACTTAGTTTTTAAACTTTTATGACAAATGCCTATTTAGTTTTTAACTTTGATTATATATTAATCTAATTTGTAAATAAAAATATATCACAATGGCAAAATATAATTATTTAATTTTACACATTATTAGTATTTAAAAATAAAAACTGATTTTACCACAAAATATGTTAATGGAAGGGCTTTTTTAGTATTGAAAATTAAAATTTAGTGGCAATTTTGGTACTTTTTTTAAGTTGAGAGACAATTTCAGTACAAATCTGAAAGTTGAGGGACCAAATTGGTATTTAACCAATTGAAAACCGAAGGCATACGCCATGGCGGGTACTTTACCACCAGCATAGCAGAGAGGATTGTTCAGATTTTTCAAAAATCAATTCCTATGAGGGTCTTGCTCTTGAAACGACATTCTAGCGCTCTTGCATCTCTAGAGCCCAAAATTTCTTCAGATAAAGAGTACAGAATCCTTGATTTTTGCAAGTCCGGTGCGCTTCTGGATGCAATTCATCTCCTTAACTCCGCAGATGTCAGCACTGAAATCTCTGTTAAACCAATCCTGTACGCTAAACTCCTGCAAACTTGCACCAAGGTCTTGTCCTTCACTCATGGTCTCCAGATCCATGCCCATGTGGTTAAATCCGGTCTTGAGAACGATCGCTTTGTGGGTAATTGTTTGCTTTCTTTGTATTTCAAGCTGGCCCCTGATTTTAGAGACACCCGCAAGGTTTTTGATGGTTTACTTGTAAAAGATGCGATTTCGTGGACATCAATGATTTCGGGGTATATTCGTGTGGGAAAGTACAAGAGGTCGCTTGAAATGTTCTTGGAGACGTTGGATTTTGGTCTCGAGCCAAATGGATTCACTTTATCTGCAGTGATCAAGGCCTGCTCTGAGATCGGGAAGCTAAGGCTCGGCAGGAGCTTTCATGGGGTGGTAATGAGACGTGGGTTAGATTCAAGTCCGGTTATTTCCAGCGCCTTGATTAATTTTTATGGGAGGAATTATCAGGTGATGGATGCATACCAGGTGTTCAACGAATTGCCTGAACCAGATGCTATTTGTTGGACGTCGGTTATTTCAGCACTCACGAAGAATGATTTGTATAGGGAATCTTTATGTTTTTTCTATTCGATGCAGAGGAATCATGGCTTGCGCCTAGATGAGTTTACATTCGGGACTGTTTTGACTGCTTGTGGTAATTTGGAGAGGTTGAAACAAGGCAAACAAGTTCATGCTAAGGTTATTACTTATGGGCTCCAGGGTAACGTGGTGGTGGAGAGCAGCCTTGTCGACATGTATGGAAAATGTGGGTTACTTAATCTGTCTCAGCATGTTTTTGATAGGATACCAAAGAAGAATTCAGTTTCTTGGTCTGCATTGCTTGTAGCATACTGTCAAAATAACGACCATGAATCCGTTTTTAGGATTTTCAGTGAAATGGATGTGGTTGATATTTACTGTTTTGGAACTGTTCTTCGTGCTTGTGCTGGTTTGGCAGCTGTTAGACAAGGGAAAGAGGTTCACTGTCAATACGTGAGAAGGGATAGTTGTAGAAATGTAATTGTAGAGTCAGCCTTGGTTGATCTGTATGCTAAATCTGGTTGTATTGATTTTGCACATCATATCTTCACTAGTTTGCCAGTCAAGAATTTGATAACCTGGAATGCAATGATTAATGGTTTTGCTCAAAATGGAAGAGTCAGCGAAGCTCTGAGCATATTCGAAGAGAGGATTAATAAAGGAATGAAGCCTGATTACATTAGCTTCATTGGCGTTCTTTCTGCTTGTGGTCATACAGGTTTGGTGGACCGAGGGCGAAAATATTTCACCTTAATGGTTGAGGAGTATGGAATCAAACCGCGAATTGAACATTACAATTGCATGGTTGATCTCTTAGGCCGCGCTGGTTTACTAGAAGAAGCTGAAAGTTTGATAGAGAATGCAGATTGCAGGAATGAATCCTCTCTTTGGGCTATCATTCTTGGTGCCTGTACAGCCTCTACAAATTCCAGCACTGCCGAGCGCATTGCTAGCAAGATGATCGAACTGGCACCTGACTACCACTTGAGTTACGTTTTGCTTGCTAATGTATATAGAGCAGTGGGAAGATGGAACGATGCTTTAAAGATTAGAAAGCTAATGACAAAACGAGGCGTCAAGAAGATACCAGGCAAGAGTTTGGTCGAAACTCAACAGTAATTCCAGTTCTTTTCTGGCTGTGGATTATTTGGAAATGCTTGGCAGGGTTAACTAAATTCGTTCACGACAATTATTTTTTGGGACAGCATACTTAGATTTCTGTCTCATGTAGAGAATTAATAAATTTGTAATTTCTAATGAATCTAGCCGGCAAAGGCTGATGAATAGCCTTGAATGTTCTCGATAAAAAAAAAAAAGCCGTAATTTCTATTCATTTTGCAATCTTTATAATTTATTTGAGATAGTATCTGATTCTGTTTGTTCTTTGTTTCAGGATTTTCAGTTCAGATAATAATTTTAATGTGCAGTTAAACACTAAAATATACTTAATAAAACTCTCCTTTATGTTCATTCATTATTGATAATTTAATAATTTCAGTGATTCAAACAAAGCAACAATCATTTGAATTAATATATTTCTAGTTTCTAATGAATCCAACTGTCACAGGCTGACGAATAGCCTTGAATGTTCTTGATCAAAAAGCCGTAATTTCTATTTATCTTGCAATCTTATTAATTTATATGAGCAAGCTTCTAACTCACTTTGTTCTGAATTTTATGTTTTTCAATCAGAGCTGCAGCTTTAATATGCAATTTAAACATTAGAATTACGAAATACCTTTTATTGGTAAATATGTAATTTCAAAGTTCAAACTGCACTATTAAAGTACAGTCCACCTCCACCCTAGAAAACATTTTTTTGTTCTGTTAATCCAAATTTTGTGGTAAGTATAAATCACTATTCTTTATCTTCTTAGATTCAAACTATCGAGTCAAGAAACCTAAAATTATCTATATTTTCTACCTTTCCATCTTCATCTATTAAAGGAGAAGAAGCATTCTACTTAGGAAAATAAACTATGGGAAAAAACAATGTTTAGGTTAGCCTGTAAAGCAGTATTCATGCAAATTCTGATATCCTCTATCTGAACTTTTCTGAATTCTCAAGATTCTCCGACCAGTAATCTGCTTAAAGTACACAGCAAGACAATGAACCGGAAAGCAAGCCAGCAATGGACTTGTAGGACAGAGAGTGACTGAAGGAATGAACTTTGTACGGCTGATCCAATTCCACCTGAAAGTAGGACCTTTGTTCCACAGCCTCCACATCATAGAGCTGCCATCATAGTCCGTGTAGCAGCCTCACGCTTTATCTCTGCAGCTTTGCCACTACCCCGGAAATACATGTAGACTTGCTGCAAATTGTTTTACAAATTAAGCAAGATGATTTATTTAGCCCCAAAAAGACAACTTAGAATAGAAATCAAATTGAAGCAATTTTACTGGAAGGGTAAGGAAGATGAAGAAGGAATAAGCAAAACCTGAATGACCCAGACACTGAGCAATGATTCAACAGTGAAAAGTGCAAAACCAATGAAATAAAATATCTGCAAACCAAAATTAACTATAACGTCAAGCATTCTCAAAAGGGCAATTCATAGTTAGCCAAGAGATATATTCTTGGCTGAATTCTACCCAGCAATACTTATATACTTCATAAAATCAGGATTTATTAATGCTACAATTTTAAAGTTGCTAACTAACATTCTAAGTGCTGTAAAATGTATAGTTATAAAATGCTAAAAACTCACCCCGACCAAAGCATGCTGGCCCAAGAGATCTATCGCAGGTAAAATACCTCTGTCCAAACAGGCACAACATATAAATATTAGCAGAGTACTGAAGCAGAAATAAACAAATTAAAGCAGGTCCAAAATTGTCATCTAGCAAAATAACGAAACGCATATTTTCAATGAAAATGATTAAAACCACATGGTTGGTTACCAAATAAAGCAGCCATGTAGTTTATTCTGCTTTCATTGGTAAAAGTCAATAAACAATTTTATATTTAGAAGTAGCAGACCAACTAATGGGAATCTCAACATTTTAAGAAGCAAGGCAATATCCTCCAAACAAAAAGTGCAACCTTTGAAGTCAAAGATTGAACCAAGAAAATAGTATGCTATAATGCTTTTTAAACTAGGCAGAAAGAAACCAAATTCTCTTAGAAGAAAAAGGATATCAAAAACAAACTTACGCAAGAGATTTTCCTTTGAAAATAATTGGAGGAGCAACTGCAGCAAAGATGCAAAAGCCAATGTGAATCTGCAAGATATGATTGACACATCAGATGAAGGAATTTCAGGGCAACCTTTAAAAAAGAAAAAACTGTGGAGAGCATACCAGGTAAAACAAGAAAAACCACCCAAACTTCAGAGCACTATCTGTCCTGTAAGAGGAATAAAATAGACATCAGGACAGAGAAGATAACTTCATGCTCATCTTGTATCACAAAATAGTTTCCTATGGGGTAATATTTTCATTAGATAACAGATTTAGAGGAATTTATTTTCATTTTTGTTACTTCTAACTACTTGGCAATCAATAGAACTTCAATATGCTTATTGCTTGCTTATACTTTCAAATGATAAGCAATGGAAGGTAGATAATATGCAACTAATGTAACGAATGCCAGCTGGTGCACACTAGAGCCATGATGACTATTGTGCTACTCAAAAATAAAAAAAAATCAAAAAATCAAAAAGGAATTTCAATGATCTATATATGCAGTCCACAAAGGTCCTTGGGAAATTACATTCATGGGCAGCCAAAATTCATGCATCATATGTGAATTGAAAGTAATAATTTCATCCCCAAGAACTTCCAACCATGCCAACCACCTCACACCTTCAATATGGAGATCATAGACCTACTTCCTCACAAAATTAATACAATACAGGGTTATCAATAGTGAATAGCGGCCAATAGCAGGAAGGTAAAAATCC